CCCACGCTGGTGAAAGAGTTGAGGACCTGCGAGGGGAGGGCAGGGAAGGTCTGCACGGCCTAGTTGCTCAGACGAGGCTGTAGGGATCATTGTAATTTTGCCGTCTGAGGCAGTTTCCTTGCTGCCCTGAAGGCAGAAATGGAAGTGATCTGTGCCCACACCAGGCTTCCTCCTCCCCCAGGAAGGTTAACATCCCCCTAACTCCCTCCGCCAGCGGCTCTGGCCCCAGCCCCTCCCCATTCCCCACTGTGATCAGCATAGACCCCCCAGAGATACTGTGTGCTCACCCTCCTCTGGGCATCCTGAGATCCAACAGGGGGGCAGTGTTCTCAGAGGCCTGGTGTGGCCAGGAGGCTTGGGGTCCCCGCCTGACTCTGCCCTCCCAGGGCCCTTTCCCAATAGCCACAATCAAGGATTTCTTGGGTTGGGATCTCTGCAAGGCACCTGTTTTGAGTGAGGGTCTGTCCCTACTTAGTAGGTAGCAGCAGGCCACCTAATCTGAAACTGTAACAGGAGGCAGCCAAGAGGGGTGGACACAGTGGGGACAGCGCAGCACAGGGGCCGGTAGGACTGGCTGTGCGACCTGGCGGGGCGCCTTCAACCGTAACAGGAGGGGATTGGACTGGACGCTTTGTGGCTTTAGCTTGACTACTGTGCTGAGAGGGGGAGGCGACAGAAGGGGCACAGAGCGGGTGACGCTGACTATACTATACGATCTTGGGGAGCTGGGTCACTTCTCGGAGCCTCAGTACCGTGATCTGTAAAACAGAAACTGAGCCGACTAAGGCAGTTCTGAAGGATGGAGGGGAGCGGGCGTAATGACTCAGGACACAGCCTGCGAAGCGATGCGCGCCAGAAGGATGCTGGCTCCTGAGAACGCGCTGGGCTGCTTTCCCGGGAGAGCAGGGTTTCAGGGTTGAGGGGTGGGGTGGGGGCAGTCGGAGAGGGTGGCGGTCTGGAGGCCCGGGGACAGCGTTGCTGCGCGTGACCGGCGGACGCGTCCCCTGAGAAGGCGGGAGTGGGCGCAGGGCGGCTGCACCTCTGCGCACACCCGAGGCTGGAGTCACACAGCGGACCCTACGGAAAGCCCACATTTCCCAGCTTTTCGCACCCAGAATCACTTCCTTTGTTTAGCTGAGGGGTGGAGGAGGAGACGGAGGGCGGGGAGGAGGGGCCCGCGGTGCCGCCCCCGCGCCCCCGGTGTGCGGAGCCCGTTGTCACTCAGCTCTCGCGCCGGCGGCGCCCGAGGCGAGTCCCGTCAGCTGCATCCCCGGACCTGGCCGCCCAGCCCCGGGGGCTCTGGGCATCCCCGAACTGGCGGCTGCTGGAGGCGTCGGGCTGGGAGGGCGCTCGGTCGGAACGCTCAGGTGGCTGGGAGCGCTGCCATCTCTGGTGACTTTGGGTAGGTCCTTGTTTCCGTCCGCCCCCGGGGCTCCCCGATGGGGCTGCAGCGGAGGGTTGAAAAAGGCGACAAGAATGCCCCCCCTGTAGGGGCAGGGGAGGGCGAAGGTCCCTGGCAGAGCTGGACCGGGGCCAGGGCACCGCGGGGAGGCCGGCGCCCAGCGTCTCAGGTGAGTGGGCGCACGCTGCGGAGGGGGGGCTCGCGCCCCGGCCTGTGCGGGGCTCAGTCCCGCGGACCCACGTCTGCCAGCCCCGCGCCAGGTGCGGAGCGGGGGCGCTACCTCTTTAAAAGCGCCGGGGGCCGAGCCTCTGCCGCACCATGTGATTGCTTGAAAGGCCGGGCTGGCCGCGCTGCGGCGGGAGCGGAGGACCGGGAGCTGCCCCGCTCGCCGCGGAGCCCTGGGCGGCACCAGGTGCCCCCAACTCTGGGCAGGATGGTGAGCTCCTCGCACCCTGTTCTGTGGGCGCGGGGGACCCTGCGGGGTGTGCGTGCGCGCGCGCGTGTGCTGGGAGCAGCCTCACACCTGATAAAAAAGCCCGTGGAGCAGTGAGCACAGCTATTTTAAGTTGCTGACTGGGACCTCTGGGGACGATAAGGGGAAGGGACAAAGATTAGGCAGAGAAAGGGCCAGCGTACCTCTTCAGCCTGAGCCGGCAACAGGCGTGCCAAGTGGGGCGCGCCTCCGAGGGCCGCGGGAGTCCCGGGGCTGCCAGGCAGGCCCCCCACGCAGGCTCCCGTGCCCACAGGTGCCCGCCGGCCGGCCGACGCGCCCCCTGGCGCCCGCCTGCTGATGCGCCGCCATGCCTCCGTCCATCTCGGCCTTCCAGGCCGCCTACATCAGCATCGAGCTGCTCATCGCGCTGGTCTCGGTGCCCGGGAACGTGCTGGTGATCTGGGCAGTGAAGGTGAACCAGGCGCTTCGGGACGCCACCTTCTGCTTCATCGTGTCGCTGGCCGTGGCTGATGTGGCCGTGGGCGCCCTAGTCATCCCACTCGCCATTCTCATCAACGTGGGGCCTCAGACTTACTTCCACACCTGCCTCATGGTCGCCTGCCCTGTCCTCATCCTCACCCAGAGCTCCATCCTGGCCCTGCTGGCCATCGCAGTGGACCGCTACCTCCGCGTCAAGACGCCACTCCGGTGAGTGCAGAGCCCCCGAAGGTCCTGGCTGAGCCCATGCTGTGGCTTGAGGGCCATCTAGAGAGGACAGAAGGTAGGCTAAGCCCCAGGTGCACCAGACACCCTCTGGTCCACTGCGCCCCAGCTGTTGCTCTGCCCACCTGCCCTCTGCTCTGCAGAGCCAGGGGGAGCTGTGCTTGGAGCAGGGAGGGGGCCCTGGGTGGCTGGCAGTGCCCAGGACCCCAGAGCCCAAGTGCTGTTCTGACACAGCCAGCAGCCTGCCTCGGGTGGGGGTTTGCAGGGACCACTGAGACAGTCACGGTGAGTGCTGGGTGGGGGTGAGCTGAGCCCCACCAGTCCCAGGGAAGCGTGTGTGTCGGGGGCACAGCAGATTGCTATAGCCAGTGAGGCTGTGCTGAGGTGGCCCACCAGGGTCGGGTGCTGCTTCTCTGGCCGGACTGGGCAGCTTTCCTGGGTCACTTGTTCCTCTCATTGTCCCATCTCTGTGCCCGCGTCTCCCCTCCCCACCCCCACTCTCCAGGGCTGTCCTGTGGAATCTAAGCAGCCTGGTTGCCTCTGCACAGCTCCCACCGCTGGGATCTCTGTTGCAAGCAGGAGGGAGAAATGCGGCACCTTCTCTTAACGTCCCCATTCTGTGGCATAACCGCACGTGCCTTTGCCAGTCGCAGCAGGGGGACCCATGCTGTGTCAGGCAGCACCATGGTGGGTGGCCTGATGGTGGAAGTCCTCTCAGGGGTGTTTAGTCCACACTGGGGCTTCTTGCCCAGGACTTCCAGGCCACAATCTCGTCACCAGGCAGTGCCTGGTCCACCAAGAGCCAGTAAGTGCCTGGGCGCCCTGCCAGGGCCGGCCCTGCTGGCATCCTCTTGTGAGGAGTGCTTGCCCCCTCTTTCAGTCTTGTCGCCGGGGCGCTCTGGCCATCTCTGGCACCTGACACCCCTGGAGCAGCTTCCATATCTGGGATGCGGTGCCTCTGGCCTCACTTGGCAACTTGCCTAGGCAGGCCTAGGCACCCACATTTCTCCCATTTGCGTTACATTTGTGCAACTTTTGGAAGCTTTTTTCCATGCACCAGTTTTTCCATGACGCTGTAAGGAAGGTGGAGTGGGAGTTGTGGAAGGAAAAGTAAGACCCAGAGGGTCTCCTGGTGATCCCACTGCCGGCCTTCCTGACCTCCGACCCACCGCCTCACCGTTTCTCTGCCCTGTCTACCTCCCTCACATCGTCCTGGTTTCCCAGGGGACGCAGGGTGCAGACGGCTGCTCAGGGGACAGAGGAGGCAGGGAAGGCAGTGCATTAGTGGCGGGAGCTGAGCCCGACCATGTAAGTGTTGCCACATTAGGAAACTCACAGATGTGCGGATGTAGAAAGGCAGCTCAAGAAATTCTGTCTGCTGAGTGGGTGCCAACGTGAGCCAAAGGCCAGGTCCTGATGTGACTGACAGAGGTTACGGGTTGTGGAATGCTCCCCGAATGCCCTGTGACGATGACAATGGCTGTGCTGGCAGGAGCCATAGGCCCGTCCCTCCAGGAGGCAGCTTCTGTGCTCCAACCTCAAGGAGCCGTCTTCTGAGGTCCCGGGCTGGGGCGTGCATAGAGGCTGAGGATACAGGCCTGGCTTCCAGTCCTTAGTATGAGATTCTAGTTGTGTGACCTTGGGAAAGTCACTTATTAGCCTCTTTAAGCGTCAATTTCCTCAACTACAGAAGGGACAGTAATAACAGTACCTTCTTCCTAGGATGATGGGAAGAATATAAAGCACTTAGTAAGTGCGTTGTCTGACATTTATGTGTGAGCCCCACACAGGGGGTTTGGGCTTCAGATTTATTTTTATCAGCATGTGGCTCACAGTGGGGCTGAATAGGCAAGGCGCGCCCCCCACATTCGGGCTTGGGGGGTTGGGGTGGGTGGCCCGAACTCACGGCCACCCATGCCTTCTCTCCTTGGTGGATTGCCAGTGCCTCAAGGTAGTGACCGCCATCCATCCGTCTCTGCCGTTTCTCCAGAACCCAGCACAGTGTCTGGCACACAGCAGCTGCTCAGCAAATGTGGGCCGGGCTGGATGAGGCTCAGGCAGGCCCTCTGGATGTCTACTCCCTTGCCTTCCTGCTGTAGGCTGGACCCGCCCCTCGTCCCACTGCACAGCCTGAGTACAGCCACCCTGTCGTGCCTGGGGGTGCCCCTGGGAGGAGCCTTTTTCCTGCTAGGGCCTAGCTCCCAAAGTGGGGTCCTGGAGGTGTGTCCATCGCTGCCCAGGTCCCTTGTGCTGGTCCCCTCTGGGCCACTGAGTCAGTGGGCTGCTGGGTCTGGGACAACACCTCTCAGCCAGAGGTCCCCAGGCGCCTGGCCCCCTGCCCTGATGAGCCAGGCAGAGGTAGATGTGGCCCTGGGCACCAGGAACTGACACTGACCAAGCATCGGTGAGGCCTGTGGGTGACGGGGTGAAGCATGGTTCAGTCAGCCAGCCACAGATTTCATGTCCTCCATTTGGCAGAAAGACAAGAGAGGAAAAGGGTTCACATCATGTAGTGTGACCCAGCTAGGAGAAAAAAAGCTCAAATTGTTGATTCATCAGTAGCGTATGACATTTACATGTATTTTGCATGTTATTTGCACAACACCTTCACAGGCTTGGTACTCGATACCCTGTTCCCCTCAGCTGCTACCTCTGGGGAACCTCCAGCGTTTGTCCTTCACTCCGCACCGTGGGGACTTGGCATCCAGTGCAGGGGCCGGTGACGGGAAGGAGTGCCAGCAGGGCTCCCAGACCAGAGCCCTGTGTGGGCAGGAGACCCCAGCAGGGCTGTCTGGACCGGCGCGCTGGGGTGGGGTCGAGCAGGGTGGGCGTTCGGGAGTCAGGCCTGCTTTGGACCTTGCGCTGCTGCTAATGGGCTGTGCAGCCTCAGATAAGGTGCTCCACCTCACTGAGCCTTTTCTGCCCTCGTCTGCTAAATGGAGCGGCTCGATCCCAAGTCTCTGCAGCTCCTTTCAGCTGTGTCTGTGGTCCGTCATCCTTCCTGCTCTGGCCAGTGCTTGTGGAGACCCTGGGAAGGTCGTGCTGTGCTTTCAGCTCCCAGGGGTATGAGCTGGGCACTGTGCTGCTTTTCATATGCGCCGGCTCATTCAATGCCCGTAGCATTATCATTCTGCCCATTCTGTCGCTGCCTCTGCAGGTAGATTGAGGCCTGGGGTTCAGGGAGCTTCTGTAACTTGACCAGACAAACACCTTTTCAGGAGCGGAGAGGGGATTTGAGTCCAGCCTGTCTGCCAGATGCCTTTAGCCAGTGAGCTGTGTGCATCTTGAATCAGGCCCAAGAAGCTGTGGGACTCATGGAGGAGTCTCTTCAGGCTGTGGGTGCGGTGGTTTTCCTCTGCATGTTGCTCGGCCTTGCTCACGCCTCCCCGCCCTCCTCACCTCCGCTCCAGTGGCGGTTGAGCCCCTGGCCGCCTGGCCTCTGTCCACAGCTGGCGGCCTGCCCAGCTTGGCTGCTGATGGGGGTGGGGGCCGGCCTGCGGACCAGCAGGGAATCTGGTCGATTAGGGTGTGTTTGCTGTTAGGCATCAATTCAGCCCTCTCACCCTGACTGGCCTGAGCTTTGCTGGACAACTGAAGTGCCTCCTGTGCTTGTCCCCTAGCAGGCCACTCTCCGTGGCCTCAGGGTCCCAGACCAATGGCTCTGCAGTGTTGGCATCTGCCTGCAGCCCCTCTGTGTGAGCATGAATTAGTCAGGGCCTGGAGTGTGAAACAGGAGAGGCGACAGAGGCCCAGGGCTCTTTCCCAGCTTCTGACCCAAGAGGCCAGGGAAGGAGAGCCTGTTACCGGTCACCTGCCTCAAGGCACAGAATAGAGAAATGCCGCCTCCACAGGTGAAGTCAGCAATTAGCGTGGCTTAGAGGGTGAGTGTCCTGGGAGGATGTTGCTTCCTGCCCAAAAAGGGAATTCCTTTGTTTGAACTAGGGACAGCCTCAGGTGGGATAGGCCAAAGGCTGGGCTGGGCAAGGTGACTGGACTTTAGAGGAGAGCTATCGGGATTAGTTCCGAGGAGGAGCGCTTCCCTCAGCTGGCGTTGGAGGGGCCCCCAGGATGCAACCTGCCCAGGTGTGAGCTTCTTGGAAGCAGGTAATGACCAGGGTGCCTCCTGGAGAAGCCCTGTACCCCAGGGTCACGGGGTGGAGCTCCTACCGGCCACAGCCTGACACTCCATCTTCATTTCTGAGCATAAAAGCATCCACATTTATCGTGAAAAATTTGAGAAATATGGGAAAGAATAAAGGTGATAAAATCACCAGTAATGTTACTCCTACAGGTAACTAGTATTAACATGTGGTGTTCCACATGTCTGTCATCTATCAGTTTTTAGTTGAGAGTGCCTATAGTTTTATATTCCATCTTATTCACTTAATGTTATTTTGTAAGCACTTACCCATGTCAGTAACAATGATTTGGTAAGGATTTTTATGATGGTATAATATTGGAGGGTTTTTTATTCATCCTTTAGGTCTCATCTCAAACGCCCCCTTAGAAAGGCCATCTCAGACCTCGTCCCTGCAGGGGCCCAGGTTAACTTTCTGTCAGGTCCTCAGGTTGCAGCTGCGTCTATCTCCTTCCTATCGCTCGTGGCTTTTGTGAGCGTGGTGGGCGCCCACAGGGCCGGGACCCCGTCTGCCTACCTATCCATGTGGTCCCAGGCCTGACACAGAAGAGGCGTGCTGTCAGCATCGTTCAGTAAGTGAATATCATATTTTATTTATTCATTCTTATATTTTTGAGTATTTGGATTGTTATTATTTTTTTATTATTACAAATAACACTGAGATGACATGCACCGTTCACGTTGTTTGTAAGGTCAGGGCCAGACCTGGACCCTGGCTGCGCTTCCATCTATAAGGGCTTCCTTCTGCATTAACTGGTTCCCAAGTCCCTTTGCTCCGAGTTGAGCACTCCTGCCCAGTTTCGCTGCGACGGCAAATCCCCAGAGGAGCATCTGGCATTCCTCTACC